GCTTTTGTGCTCCATCCGCGGTACATCAAGAAGCGTTTTTGCTTAATGCACCACCTGTTGCTACTGCTCTGGTAGATGCAGAGAATGAGCGTGCTGTCCCAGAGACGTGCTGCACCGTCGCACGAAACAATCTTCGGTCTATGCCTTATGCTGAAGTCAGGTCAACAGGCCTGGGTATTTCTGATGGAAGGGTGAGGTTCCTTGGTGGTCCGAATCCGAAGTCGAATGCCAGTCAGTCGGAGGACTTGTCTGAATGCTTGTGCTTGAACTCAACGCTGAGCTGCAAAGGCATCGAACCAGGAGGGGTGAGTGTGACTCACCCAGCACTTGACAGTGACTTGCAGCATCAGGACACCCGTGAGAGGCGGGAGAGGTTTCCTGGCAGTGCTAAAATGGGAAGTGTAGTCTTGGGAAAGGGTCAAGATTTGCCGAAAGGTGACAGCAAATCCCTTGATCAGGATTATACAACCAAGTGCTATGCAGGACCCTCTAAGTCCACATCCCTTGGGCAGAATAGATCTTACCGTGTAAGGCCGAGTTGTGCACGGGGTCAAGGTTTTCCGAAAGGTTACAGAAAATCCTCATGTTGCAATTTCGTGCCGAGCCGGGCTAATAGATCTTTGCCATCATGGTTTTCAGCTGGGTGTAGTCGTAGTCTCATGCCCAAACTTCGGAAGATAGTGGGACCCGTTGAAGACAGTGTGCCAGTGTCTAGAACGCCTAGAGAGCCGCGCGAACGCAGACGTCACCGGTTGATCTACGCTTACACTGAAGCCCACCGCCTATCGGAGGGCATGCCCACTAACTGGCAGGAGATTCCACCTCTGATTGCAAACCAGCCACTTCCAGAGGACAGCTTCTCTGTCATACCGGCGGCACTATGGGTGTTCAGGGACCGGGATTGGCAAGAAGATCCGGAGCTTGAATATTTTGATGACCAGGACCGCACACATCCCTTGGCGAGGGTGTTGCAAGGAAGCATGACCATCCTACCAGCTGTAGGGGACATCATTGCAATGTTTGAGTTTCTTGAGTATGCCACGGGTGTGAGGTGGTTTATGGTTCTTCGGAGAGTTTCGGTAGGCACTGATGGACCTCCTCATGCAAGGGATGATGATGAATTGAGGGATCTCAACAGAGACTCCGAAGGGGATGACGATGAGGAAGGACCCGGGGATCCAGGCCCTAGACATCCTCCGCTTGGTGTTCGACCGGTCAGAATGCCACGCCTGGCAGCCCTCCGAGTCCAGAGCCCTGAGTCTCCTTCTGAGGAGGTTCGGGCTCCACCTACCAGTTCGTCATCCACAACTCCTGCGGCAAACCCATCACAACCTTGGGCATCGCAATGCTTCAGAGGTACTTCGCAATACCCTCGAGGCTTATCAAATCCTGCCACTGACAGCAATTTGTCCCACACACAGCGTCATAGAAGACCTCGGCTCAACAAGACGGCACCTGCCGCTACGAAGGGCATAGAGGATCTTCTAGACTCGTTGACCGAACCCATAGGTGTGGTCCATAATGTCGACGGGGCGGAAGTGAGACAGAATGTTGAAAGATGGAGGGCAGCAGTGCTTAAGGAACTGGAGAGCCTTACTCGTCTCGGTGCCATCAAACGGCATAAGGGTAGAGCGGCCCGTAGGTATCTTGAGCGCACAAACGTGCGGCCGATTCCCTCAAAAGTGGTGTGGACAATTAAACCGCCTGAAGCTGGTAGCAATGCTTTTTACAAAAGAAAAGCTCGAATTGTAGCGTGCGGCAATTACGAGGCTGCTACTGATGAACAGCTGTTTGCTTCAGGTACGACGGTAGAAGTTCTTAGGTTGAGCCTGACGTCTTGTGCCCAGCGCAGTTGGTCAGCTAGTGCAGCTGACATCAGAACAGCCTTCTTGCTGGCACCAGTGCCAACAGGTGTACACCATGCCATTTATCCACCTGCAGTTCTTCAAACTCTTGGCATTACCTCCGAATCGGAGGTATGGCAAGTCTGTAAAGCACTGTATGGATTTAGAGAGTCCCCAAGGTACTGGTGCAACTTTAGAAACCAAGTCTTGCAATCATTTGAGTTTGCTTACCAGGGAAAGACCTACAAACTGCGGCAAGGACGTTTGGAGTCCAACTTGTGGACTGTGTATTGCAAGGATCAGCCTGAGTCCTCCTTAGAGGGCTATGTATTGGTGTACGTGGACGATCTGTTATTCATGGTACTCGAATCCTTAGCAACAGCTCTCCATAAGGCCCTTTCAGAAATGTGGGAAATTTCTAATCTGGAATTTGCAACAAAAGAGCCTTTGAGATTCTTAGGAGTTGAAATAGGTACTTGCGAGGGAGGTTTCTGGTTAAGTCAATCTTCGTATATAGACGAACTTTTGCGAGCCCACCAAATTCCTTCCAGCAAAAGAGCCAAAATCCCGGCGCCGCGGGAATGGCTGAACGTCGATCCAGATGATCAACAAGAGAATCCCACTACGGCCGATGTGAGATTGGCACAGAGGCATGTTGGGGAACTGTTATGGCTTTCGCAGAGGGCAAGGCCTGACCTTCAGTTCACTGTTGCCATCGCTGCAAGTCTTGCATTGCACCAACCGAAACGAGTAGCTGCAATAGCTATGCGTACTCTGGCGTATCTCCAAGCCACGCGTCATTATCGACTTCGTTGTGTGCCCACCACCGACAATGGCTTGGATCTGGTCGCGTTTAGCGACGCAAGTTTTGCGCCAACTGGCGCGAGAAGTCACGGATGCGCCGCTGTCTTCTTCAATGACGTAGCAATCTGTTGGAGGAGCTCGCGTCAACCTTTCACAACTTTGTCCACGACGGAATCAGAGTTAGTTGCAGCGTCGGAAGCCGCACTCATGCTGATCTCCACGCAAGCCCTGTTGACTGATGTGCTTCCAGATCAAGAGGCATGTCTTTCTTTGAGGGTGGACAACAAAGCAGCGGTATCCATCTCCTCGGAGGGGATGGGTTCGTGGCGTACTCGCCACTTGAAAATCCGATATCAGTGGCTGCGCGAGAGGTTCGCAGATGGGTCGGTTGGCATAACTTTCGTGCCAGGGGCTCAACAGAGGGCTGACATTGGCACCAAGCCGTTGCCAGGTGACCGCCTAAGGGAACTGATGATCCAATGGGGCTTTATAGGGCCTGAAGATGAACCCGAAGGCGAGGATCCGGACCCAGAGCCTCCCAGGGACTTGACCGTGCAGCTGAAAGCTATAACCGCATGGCTGTGTGCTTTGACAGCAGCTTCCAGTTTAGCTGTGGCTGATAGCGCAAAGTTGGAGGATGAAAACATGTGTCCAGTTGTATGGGAACCGTCACAAGAGTCCATGAAGGTTGACTATTCCCTTGAGCTGTATACTTGTGTTTTCCTTGTTATTGTGGGTTGGGAGTTGGTTAGGAGGTTCATAGGCTTTGGGTGCAGATGGGGTTTTAGGAGCGTGCAAGCTCGCTCGTGCCATGCGAGGCTTGAGCAAGCCGTTGCCCGTGAGCTCCAAGCTCACTTCAGAACCTCCTCTGGAGCACCGCCTCCGCCTCCGGCCGCAGCCTCAACCGTGACCTTTGCTTCACATGGTGAGGGTCCGCCATCATCTTCCGGGCTACCTAGCCCGCCCAGCGTGCCACAAGGAGCTATCCATGCTCCTGCAACCTCTGTGCATTGGCACTTTACTCAAGTGCCTCCGCCACCTGCAATGCCACCTGCTGTTCCAGTTCCACCTCCACCGCAAGCCAGTCATCGCACAACTTCCGCACCACCCGTGCAGCGCCAGGGTATTAGGACTAGGGTGACTAGAGCGGTTTCAAGGGAGCTTCAGAGGCAGGCCCAGGGACTTCAAGGAACTCGTAGAGTGGATGCAAGTACACAGACCCATGTTCATGCTGAGTTTGGTGTGTCTATGGAAGACGACTTGCTTTCTACTCGTAGAGGTCAGGCAGTCCACTTCTACAGAGGGTGCCCTTATCTGACGCATTCTACTACTATTGATACTCGTAACTTTTGCACTTGGTGTGCAGACCGACGTCAGAGATGGGGCTAAGGCTCTCGAAGACAAAAGTGTCTAATTTGATGAGTCACTCCTGACGGAGAACTCAAGGAGGGGTGTTGAAGTACAGAAAGCCCAAGCCCCTTCTTCCGTTGCATGTTTTTGCAGTTGTCTGTAGTTTCATGCCTTGAGTAATGCACTACGATCTGTAGCCTTGGAGGCTCCAGTAGCAGGCCCCTGCGCAAAGGATGACACAACTTTCGTCATCGACTTCAGGTGCGAACGCACAAGTTGAGAAGTGTACCAAAGTCGCAGAAGGGCAACATGCACACATACACACTAGCACTTGTACAGCAGCAGTGCTAACGACAGTTGCTTCTTTCGCTGTAGTGTGAAAAGGCACAGGGTTGACTTCGTCCGCGCTGAGGGTTCATGGTTCTGAGCTCCTGTGGATTCCCATCGGGGATCGTCCGATAAACTTGGAACGATACTTTTCTTCAGGAAGAGACGAGCTATGGCCTCAGCAGGTGACCCTGACAATCCCAATCTTCATGATCTACCTCATGACTTTCAGCATAATGGTATTAGTAATAGCAATACACTAGAGCAGAAGAAATAGTCATCCACATCGTCATAGTCATAGTGCTGGTCATTGTCATAACAGTAGTATTCGTACCAGTACCAGTACTAGTAGTAGTAGTCGTCGTGGTCGTGGTAGTCGTGGTGGTAGTAGTAGGACTAGTAGCAGTAGTAGTAGTAGTAGAAGTAGTAGCAGTAGAAGTAGTAGTAGTAGTAGTAGTAGTAGTAGTAGTAGTAGTAGTAGTAGTAGTAGTAGTAGTAGTAGTAGTAGTAGTAGTAGTAGTATATAATAGCAATAGCAATACTTATACTTATAGTAACAGACATGATGCTGATTACACTAACAACAATAGTAATAATGGTATCATGAACTACCAAGATGCCCGAGAAGCGTTTCAAGGCTTCAGCCATGCCTTTGTGGCCGTGCCTTCTACTGAGGCTGTAGGTGGTGGGGTGCCAGATGGTAGCAAGTGGCGGCCCAAGCTCTCGCAGACTGCGGTCCTCCCAGTTCTTTTTGTCACCGCAGTTGTCGTGGCGATGGTTGTTGCTATTGTTACTGCTGGAAATGGTCTTGTTGTGCTGCGATGCTGCTGGCCACTTTTGTTGCTGCTGATGGTGCTTATTGTCGTCGCCGTAGCAGCTACTGCAGAAGGAAGCTGCGGTGCAGGGGAGTAGGCATAAGTGCACTCTCGGTGCCAGTGAGTGTACTGCAAAGAGCGGAGAGTCACAAGTCTTGGCGCATGGCCTATACCCAGACCCTACTTCCTAAACCCTAAACCCTACTCCATGAACCCTTGACCACGAAGAACGAGCTGTTGCTATAGTCAGATCATGCAGGCAAGCCGGGAGCAGAATCAGCAACGGTTTAGGGTTCAGGGTTTAGGTGTAGGGTTTAGGGTTTAGGGTTTAAGGGTTAGGGTTTAGTCGCAGAGTAGGTAACCTTTAACTTTGTGGTGTACCAGAATCCCTATAGCGTCCCATTAGGCTCCCCCAAGGGTTTTCCTTCAGTTCCCCAGGATACTGGACAAGCAGGAACACAAAAACAAAGCTCTAAGAATCAATGAGACCAGCTATCGTCAGGGTAAGCATGCAAAAGTATTGAAATAAGAGAAACAGTCGCCATAAGACGAGTACTTCTATATCAACAACCATAATCGTGTAGTGGTATTCATATACTCTAGTAATTGCAGTATTGCTATGAGTAATGATACTAGTGATAGTGGGTAGTGATGGTCAGAATGCTTACTTACACCCTGAGCCCCTGAACCCCACAGCTAAAACCCTAAACCCTAAACAAAAACACCCTCAACCCTTAGAGTGAACCTTAAGCCCTAAACCCCAAACAAAAGCACCCTCAACCCTTAGAGTGCACCCTAAACCCTAAACCCCAACCTTAAAGGAAAAAAACCCAACCTTAAACCCAAAACCCCAAACAAAAACACCCTCAACCCTTAGAGTGCACCCTAAACCCTCAACCCCAAACCTTAAACCCTAAACCCCAAACGAAAACACCCTCAACCCTTAGAGTACACCCTAAACCCTCAACCCCAACCTTAAACCCTAAACCCCAAACAAAAACACCCTCAACCCTTAGAGTGCGCCCTAAACCCTAAACCCCAAACCTTAAACCCTAAACCCCAAACAAAAACACCCTCGACCCTTAGAGTGCACCCTAAACCCTAAACCCCAAACCTTAAACCCTAAACCCTAAACAAAAACACCCTCAACCCTTAGAGTGCACCCTAAACCCTCAACCCCAACCTTAAACCCTAAACCCCAAACAAAAACACCCTCAACCCTTAGAGTGCACCCGAAACCCTAAACCCCCAAACCTTAAACCCTAGACCCTAAACAAAAACACAAACAAAAACACCCTCAACCCTTAGAGTGCACCCTTGGAGTCGACCCAGAGGTCTCTGGGCGCCAGCCGCTCGCAGCCCATGCTGTCCTCCCTGCGAACGTCAGGGCAGAGGTGCTTTGCTTCCTAGGATTTAGGGTTTAGGGTTTAGGGTTCCATTAAGGGTCCCTTTAAGGGATCTTTTGGGGGTACTATAAGACTATAAGGCTTTAGGGGTTTAGGTTTTCGGGAGGTAGAGTTCCCAGAGAGCCCCAGAAGTCCTTAAGGTATATTTACCAACTTTGGCAATGCTGTCTAGATCCCTTTCACAAGGATAAGCAACAGTGGTTTCCACTTGGCAGTGTAGCAGTGTAGCACGAACAGCAGACATCAACATACCATTCGACATGATATACCAGCGGACAAGTAACACCCGGTTGCAAACATAGCAATGTGCAGCTCAGCATGTATCAGGGACCAGATCGAAGTTCTGCAACATGCCATGTTGCAGAAAAGTAGCGGGTGCCAAAGTAGCTGCTGATTTGCCATTGCGTAGTGTGCTTTGTTTCGTATTGAGTTTTTTTTGGATTCACTGGTTGTCTTCGAGCCTTTATACAGGCTAGTGTGGACAGCAGCCACGCAAGAGATAGTGGGTGGCAAAACCTGACACATGCCGGCGACATGCATCCCTCAAGACCACCGGCGGACGGGAGCATCTGGTACGGTCCTTCTTACCGTGACAGTTGCGGGAAAAAGGGGTGGGAACAACCGCCATGGGCTCCAGAGCCAGCTGCTGCCAAGAAGATATCCTCGAGCCGCCCAAGGACCAGCCTTGATTTAGGGTTTAAGGATTTAGGGTTTAGGATTGGGAGTTACTGTTTGGGGTTTAGGGGTTTTGGGTTGAGGGCTTCGGGATCAAGGAGCCGGCGAAATCTAGGCTGACTTCTTCAATCTTTAGATGAGACAGTTGAAGTTGCTACAGTGACTCGCGTGGAACCCTTGAACTTGAAGGCTTGGGTTTGCGGGGTTCGGGTCTGAAGCTGTGTGCTTGTCTTGCTTGGAGGACCATGGGACTTAGTAAGTAAGGTTATAAGTACCTTATTTGGAGTTATAAGTAGGTATAAGTATAGTTACCCCAATTATAACCGTAGTTACTGAATCCCATGATCCTTTAAGTGCAGGAAGCAGATCCTGGCTTGCTTAGGGTTTAGGGCTTAGGCTCTACTCTTGCCTTTCTACTCGCTAAGGCCGCGAGCTCTCTTGCTCTCTCTCTTCATGTCTCCGCGATCAGCAGGGAGTATCCGCAAATTAGGGGTACCTTACTTTGGGGTCCTTATAATGATCCTACTATTTAGGGTACTATATTCGGGTCCCCTATTTTCGGAAACTCCCAGCAGTGTCTCTTGCAGGAAAGCCCAAATACCGGATGTCGCACCTCAACTGCCCGGAGGAATCCTCTGAACCCTAGACTCGTTTGGGGCAGACAGCAGAATTTCTCTGAGTTTGAGCAATTACAGGGGCCCACATATGAAGTGGGACCTTCTGCGAGGCTCCCTTACTTTGGGACCCCAATCTCAGGAAGTGCCTTGACAAGAGTTTGCATGAACTACGAAGCTCTGCTCAGATCACAGCCACAGCTAGCTCATTTCCAGACTGAGTATGGCCAGTATGGCGACTCTCGGTATGGTGCTTGCGCTGGGCTTGGCACGGGTCGGCCTTGCTGCTCTTGGTCCTGGCAGCTGTGCTTTCATTTCCATCAACGGACAGGGCCCGGACAGCTTCCAGCTTGTGCTGTTGGAGCCGATGGCTGCCGGCGAGACCATCAAAGCCACGTTTCGGATGGTCGATGGCTCCGGTAATTGGGTCGGAGCGAGCAGCAGTAACGATTTGACATATACCGCTTCCTCCTGCCAGTTACCGGGTGTAGTCCTTGGCGGAGTGCAGGGTCAGACCTCGGGAATGCTTTCGCATGGCCAAGCGGAGGGGAACAGCTCTCAAACGGCGGTGACACATTGATTGCCGTGAGTGGAGACGACACCCCCCTTTGCGCCGCGAGCACCGAAGCAGATACTTGGGGCTTCGTCAACGGGGGGCAGACTGCCTTGCCTGCTGGCCTCACGGCGAACTCTGCCGATGCCATCACAAAGGGAAGTGTGGTCAGCATGTGCTATCAAGGCGTGACCAGTGACACTGTGGCAAACGTGAAGACGGCGATTGCTGATGTGGGCAGCAACTGGTTAGTCAATTCCCTCCCTAACTACGTGAGTTGCAGTGCACGTCGCCTGCCACCAGCTTCACGATGAGTGATGCTGCAACACAGTGCCCAACGACGACCGCCACCACCACGGCCACGGCCACGGACACGGCCACGGCCACGGTCACGTCCACGGACACGGCAACGTCCACTGATACGGCCACGGCCACGTTCACGGCCACGGCCACGGTTACGGCCACGGCCACGGCCACGACCACGATCACCACAACAGCAACACGCACCACGATGGCAGCAAACACCACAACAACCGACCCTACGACCACAACCACGACAGAAGACGAGGATTTCGACATTAGTGGCGCTTGGGCCTCAACCGCCTCCTTGTTCACGCTCTTCCAGGTCATTGTTGGAGCAGGCCTCCAGATCTGAGCGGCTCGTCCTTGAGAGGAAGGCTTTTGACAGGCCACGTGGACGTAGGCTCTGTGTTTTCTGTATAGTCGTTTTAGGTTCAGTTCCCTTGTGCTACGATGGCCCGGTGGAGTGAAGTCAATTTCTTCGCCCGGCTGCTCACGTTGTGTTTTCGTCTTCTGGGGGGCCCGACCTGAGGTCAGGAATAGGAGTATTAGGAGCAGCAGCAGTCAGTAGTGGCAATGATAGTTGTGTAGACACCCCCGAAAGACGCTTCCCGCTTATGGAGGTCCGGGTCGTCAGTATCCCGCCTTCCTCGGCGCCCGAACTCGCACTGAAGCTGCCAAAGCATGTCAATCTCCCGCGCGGAAAGAATGCGATTTCTTTGCATATGTCTGCAAAGACGATCGGCTCCTTCCTTTGCCTTTAACAAACCAAGGCCGACCTTGTCACATCGTAGCGGTCATGTGCAGGAGAGCTTGCCCAGTCGGCCCAGAGCAGAGCCCAGTCTGTGATTGCTACGAGTACAGTCTCCGGCGTAGCCTTAAAATCCCCTTATAATGCCCCTTATAATTTCCTTTTAATGCCTCTTATAATCCCCTCATAGTAATGCCCCTTCTAATCCTCTTGTGATGCCCTTCTCATCCCCTTGCCCTTGTAGTCACCTTCATGGCTTTGATTACGACAAGCCCCTTCATTCTAAACCTCAGAAGGAGCTGATCGAGGCGAGCCACGCTTGTGAAGATCCACCGGACACGGAGAGAGGCACGGTGTAGGGTTTAGGGTTGGTTTTTGGGGGATTAGGGTTTAGGGTTTTGCGGGCTTTATAGTAGGCTTGTCGTCCCTTTCTGGTACCTCATGGCGCCTTATGGTGGCCTTAGAGAGTAGCCTTATACTATTCGTATAGTACGCTTATCGTCCCCGTATGGTACCCTTAATCCCCGTATGGTACTCGCATAGTACCCCTGCAGCCGAAGGCAAGGTCAAAGTAAGGCTACTAAAGCGTCTACTGTACGAGTACTCTAACACCATGAGGTTACTGTAACCATAAGGTTACTATAAGGGTACCATAAGGTTCGAGTAGGGGTCAGGGTTGACTGGTTAGGGTTGAGGGGTTACATTTGCAGATATGGGGCGTAGGTTTCGTGACTTAGAGTCAGTAGGTCGTTATAGCGGAAGCAACGATGCTGCTGCTGCTGCTGATGATGATACTGGTGATAAGTCGTCGCCGAGAACTCCATCTCCATAAGCACCGCCATTGTTTTGTACAAAATTCCAAGTACCAGTCCCATATTGCTCAGTGGGGTTCTTCTTGATGTTATGCGCCGATGCTCGTTGTGATGATGATTTGCCACGACTATCACCACTATGAGGGTGGGACGGGTACTTGGCAACACCATGGTACCTGTCATCATTGGTCTGGGAGACCCTAAACCCTAAACCCTAAACAGCCAGGTGCTTCGAAGGCTGACGAGGACAAGGACCTTCCACTGGATGCGGGCAAAGATGTGCCAGTGGAGGCCGGGTCCGGTCTTCTGGGGTCCAGGGGTTTAGGGTTTAGGGTTTGGGGGTTTAGGGTATAGGGTATAGGGGTTTAGGGTTTAGGGGTTTAGGGTATAGGGTTTAGGGTTTAGTGTCTTCTTGTGGGAGATACGACGTTTCTATCTTACGAAGGCCCGAGTTAAGAACCCGACGACGAACCATGTCTCAGCGCCCTGCAAACGGAAAGCCCCTAAGCCAATCCCGAACCCTAAATCCGAAATCCTAAACTCTAAACCCTGAGCCCTTCCACGAACAGTGGATTCCACCGACCTTAACTGCAAGGAGGAAAAAGGCGTTCAAAAAAAAACCTGAGCCCGAAACCCCGAGAAGCCCTCCTCCCTAAACCCTAAACTCCAAGCGCTAAACCCTACTCTCCAACCCTAAGCCATAATGTAGGGGCTTTAACAGTTAGAATGGAGTTTGGGGGTTTACTATACTTTGCTTAGAATTAGGAGCCCCCCAAAACTTGTTCTAATTATTAAGGCCCCTACATTAGGTTTGGGTGTCTGCGTTCTCCATGTCTGAGGTCCTGGGACTTCCGCAGTCTGAGGCTGCGGGAGATCGGTGCGCTGGTTTTCGGTTTAGGGGTTAAGGGGTTTAGGGCACAGGAGGGTTTAGGGTTCGTGGTTTAGGGCGTAGGGTGTACGGTTTAGGACTGAGGCATAGGATGGTTTCGGTTTGGGTTGTAGGCTTGAGGGTTTAGGGGTTGTTGGTTTAGTATTTGCTCATCACATTCAGAGGGCCATGCCGTGCGACAGGAGGGTTTGCGACTCTCAGAAACCTTGCAGAAAGCATCGTAGCTCGTAAGAGGCCCACTCTGAGGGTTTCGCAAGCTTGGTCCGGCTTTGAGGTTGCTGGGCTTTACAGGCCATTCCGATCGACCGTTTCCGGTAGAATCTCAGCCCCTCGGCCACCAAACTCGCACTTGCATGCAGGTCTCAGTTTGTAACAGACTGGGCCACTTGTATCC